AACTTATTTATAATTTTGAGTCCAAAAATTATACCAATTATTGATGTATATACGTATGTATAGTTTATAGTATAATTTAAAATTATATAATGTAATACACAATTAAAAATATATGCTACTTATCACAGAAGTATTTTACATAATATATCGGCCTACTATTAAATTTAAGTTTAACATTAAATAATTGTTTCTTACCCTTATAGTCTTAATACATGGTAATATTACAATAAACATGAATTAATAATTTATTTTTTTAAATTTATTTATTAATTCTTTTTACTCTATACTTGTAGAACATAGCATGGGTTATTGAATATTATAATCTCATGGCCATAAAATAAGAGCTCAAATTAATTAATAACAATTTTTATTTTGTTTTGCTAATAAATAGATTATGTTTTTCAGATCTTCAAATTTTATTCATTTTCAATTTACTTTATTAATTTTTAATTATTTAAGTTAGAAATCGTGGTTCATGGTTCTCGTCATTTATTATAAAACGTCAGGTCGATACATCAAAAACATTTTTCGCCACACTAGACTGTTTCAATCCTTTGCGGACTTTTTCTCATTTTGGAGACGGATCATAAAGTCAAGTCACTAAAAAAGAATTATTGGTAAAAGGAAAATTGAAAAAAATAAAATTGATTTAATTAATTATTGATTCTTATTACTTTTATTTATCCTGTGACAAACGCTTAATATAAATTTAAAAATAATAAAGTATAATATTTTTGTGTTTTTGTTTAATTAAAAAAAAGACATCTCTCATTACTATAGTTGACTTTTGTACCAATGTACATATTATCATTTTTTTTCTCTTTCACATATAAAATTACATGTGGTTTTATTTTTGTTGAACTAGGGGTACTTTTATTTTTTTTTGCCAAATCATTGTGCTCTTCTCATCTATTTACACTGTGTACCTACATACGCTATAATATAATGCTCATATTAATAAGAAATTGCTCCGAATAATATATATCTAAAAATTATTTAAAACAATTAATTAAATAATATATTATTTTAAAATAATTATATACAATACCTATTATTGTCAATTGTCAGACTACACTGCAAGTCAGCCAATGAGTACTCTTGATATTCAGTAATTAAATCTGTTTCAATAAACAAATGATTTCCTAGAACTCTCGTTAGGTACATTTGAAAATCCCAAACAGTTTAGTTCTGTGCATTTAGTTTTTTTACTTCGCTGTATTATTCCAAAATAAACTCCAAATCATTGAGATTGCTGAATGATGATTTTAAAATTATTGTTGGACTAGGTATAGTTTTCGACGTAGCACAGTTAAAACACAGTCGTTTTTTAACAGCGGATGCCGGATGGCACACTTTCAAACCACGAAAATTATAAGGAGTTGTGAGTTGTATATAGCAAATAGGTACATAAGACTGCGAGTAAGCTGCATTACTATTTTATTTTTTAGATCGGGTGAAATTTGTGAAGTTGAAATTTCGAAAAATTTCCCAAGATATGCAAATTAAGCACAATAACGTAAAAATAAGCAGTTTCCGGCAAAATTTATGAAATATGCAAAAATATGCAAATTCAAATTTTAGATTAGATATCAAGGCATTGAGAAATGAATTTATTTCGCACTCTGCTACATTTTACAATAAATAAAAAAAAGTATGCAAATGCTATAAATCCCAAACCTTGGTCATAAGGTTTTTCCCCCGTCACTTACCTTTATGTGAGAGCCTTAGTTAGGTAGGTACCTACACGGCTGTATATATATTATATTATTTATTACACTATAGTGTAGTAGTATAATATAATCACACAATTTTTTAGCAAATACTGCGCACTATTATGGAATAATATTGTTTAATAACATATTAATGCCGAGCCTAGAGAGAAATTATATTCACGATTAAAGTATCCATTTTTTTTATTACTTCTGTAAATGTCAAAGCCTAATTTTGAATTTTTTTCATGTTTCAACACTTCGAAAGTTTTATATTAAGTTATAGTTAAACCGTTAAGACTAAAAACAATATTGTGAGATGCCAGACAAAAAAATGGACTCGCGACAGTAGTGTATCTAAATGGCCTCTAAACGCAGAGTTCCGTGTTCTGAATTGTATAGATTTAAACACTCCGTATAATATTCTGTTTCGGAATCTGAAATAAAAAATGTATCGTGTCATCCAAAGAATTCAAAAACTCAAAAACTGATAACAACATATTATTATATTACAATATCTATCATCTATGGCAAAAGCCGATCGTCGTCACTCGTCGGAGACGATTTACAATTCTAATAATTTTATTGAACAAAAGAGAAATGTGTAAGGCAACAATAAACATTTACTCACATATTTTATTCTACTCAAGTAAATTGTACTCAAACTTAAGTTCAGTCATATATCTGATTTATTCCGCAGTGCATACACAATATCAGGAATTCCGCCGAAGCCCGAAAGCGTGGATGTTTAAAGTAATTAATTTTGGTTTCATATATTTTTGGTGCTTGGATTTATTTTTTATACTTCAAATAAAAATTTAATTTCATGAAAAATATGCTACCCCTATGTAAACCCATATTTTATTTCTGAGAGCAAATGCATAAAATACGAGAGATCAAATAATATACAAACGCCGCTCGTCGTCGTCGTTTTTCTGCTCCCTGATCGTAGGATAATTTTATAATTATGAATTTATAACCTATTTTTAAGTAGGTACTTGAAATAGACATTCATTATACGGTTTAATTTAGAAATACCCGTTATAAGTGATTACTCATAAGACATAATTTTAATTTATAACTTATAATTTTTTTTAAATCCAAAGTTAGCAGTTACAGGACACTATTAATTTAGTGTTATATATATTTCATTGTTCTATTATATATTAATATTACATTATATTATAGTTGTATCTGAAAAACAAAAATGTTCATTGAGTGGTAAACTCACTATCCTAACCAGCTATCACCCCGTACGAGTGATTATGAAAAATATACTTTTATAATAGTACCTATAGGTATCTTTATATAATATAATATAATAAATAGTTATGAAATAAATGGACGGTTATTGTGAGAGAATGGTCAAGTCAAAAATTACAACTTTTCAGGAGACGACAAAAACGTATTAACGTGACATGGTAATAATATTTTATATTGCCAAATTATGTAAATACTACAAGTAGTTATGATTTTGAAAACAAAATTTAAACAATTATCATATTTTATTATTTTTAGTTGACTTATCTAGTTATCTAGTATGACACTAAGAATTTATCACTTTACTGACTTGTCATTTTGTGCACATGATGACTTGTCCATCTTATCACAGACGAAAATTAAATTACCAATCTACTTTTGACTTGTCCACTGCTGCACTTATCCATTTTATCACAATCTACTAAATAAAATAAAATATTATCCTTACCACCTTACCTACTTTGTAGTTTGTTGTTTATTTTCTTAAAATAACTTTACTACAATATTTATATTGGCTTTTGATTGACGATTGTCTTATTATAAACTATAATATAACACACATTTTTCAAACAATATAATATATCATATTATTTATTCATAAAAGTAACAAGAATAAAAAACTTCCAACATTTCTTTGTTAATGTGAAATTGATTTTCATTTGACTTAATGTAATAACCATATTATCAAAATTATTAAAGATAAAAATGTATTTGTAACAACAAAGTATAAAAATTATCAATTACACATTATAAAATTATAAACATAAAAACTTATGTTACCTAGATATTTTCTTATTAATTATGCCTGTATTATTTACATACTTAAAAATTATTATTTTTTTAAAATAAGTAACAGTAAATTATAATAAATCTTATTGCACAATGGTTAATACCTACTAATAAAAACCATAAACCTAATTCAAACATATTTATAATCACTCTCATTTTCTGAAACCAAAGGATTACATACATCATTGGTTATTTTTAAGCTCTTATAAAAATTATGATAAATTTCTGGGATAAAACTTAATAAGGTCATGAGATCATTTTTTTTCCTGGGGTAATGGGCAGTAGACCACTCTAACCTGTAAGTACAGTAAATGTAGGGTTTAAGATTCTTCAAGTCATGTTTAAAGTCATAAATGGTAAATCTTCAGCTAACAAATTCTTGTGTTACTTTATTTTCTTTGGTGTAAAGTAACCATTTAACATTCTTAAAAACAAATGGTGCTCCCTCTTCATTTTTTTTTTTAATATTATACTTTTTTTTCAGCAAAGTATTAAAATTAAAAAATTTGTTTGATCCATTTCAAGCACACACAATTTATCTTTTCCAGAAAAATGAATGAGCTAAGCCTAATCGTATGGGTGATTTATGGAAGGATATTTTTTTCAAGTTTTTTCGATCATAGCATGGTCGGAATCGTATTCCTTTCTAGAATGTCCTGGAACGATAAATTTGTGATCTATAGTTTTTATGGAGTTTTGAATTTCTAAAGAGTATAAACACATAGCCATAATAATGCCATTTTTGTTCTGTCCAGGGCAGCAGTCACTGTACATTACAATATGTGATATTTCTTTGAGTAAATTGTTCAGGTAATGGTAAATGCATGAGCTAATTTCATTAGCACCCCTTTTTGCTGTTGATTCATACCATATATAGCATGAAGCTTTTGAACTAGCAGAGTTATGAATAGTTAAGTTGTACATCCATAACTGCCTTTTATAAAATGCCACTGAACTTTCTAAACGTGGAGTAGGCAAACATTGTTGTAAGTCAAAAGAAATTGTACATTTATCAGTTGAGTTGGATGATATATTGTTTCTTTTTGTTTGATACGCCTCTTCAGCATCATTCTGATGGGGGTTTCTTTCTTCTAGTAATATTTCTTTTTCGGCTGTTTGTATATTATCTGCAAGTTTAATCTTAAATTTATCACAATTAGCATATGTAACCTTCTTATGATTTTTAACTTTAAAATTTGATGCCTTAAAATATTTTTCATTAAGGGTTCAACTTACTGGTTTATCTACAGTTTTAATATAATCTTCATAAGCTCTTTGAAGTGTTAAGTATGGAGGAAGGTACTTTTCGTTAGTCTCTTTTCTACAATAGTGACTCTCATAAACTGGTAATTTATTTAAATGATCTGTAACCATTTTAATATCAATATTGGATCTTTTATTTTTAGGTAGATCACTTACTCTCTTGTCAGGTGAACATTTATTTGCTGGAGAAGTTAAGGAATTATTACAAACATTTGTTAAAAACCTTTTTTTCCAACAAAAGATTTTTAAAAAACACCCTTTACAAACCGGTATATTTGTTCCATCTTTTGGTACTGCATAATGGAATACCTTATCTCTAGCTTTTCAGGCGTATCTCTTCTTTTCCTAACAACCTTCTTGTTAGAGCTAGTAATAAAGCTTGATAAATAAGCTCTACGCCTGTTATAATCGTTCATAGACCAATATAAATTAAATAAGTGTAAACGTAATTCATCATCAACACTTGCCTTGCAGTTGTTTCTACAGTTAGGAAGATGTTCTGATGTTTGAACCAAGACCTGTTTCCCTTTATTTGTAGTATTCTCTAATCTATGATTTCTCTTTTTCTTTCTATACTGTCTATACTACCTGGTATCGTTTTTCTGCTTATGTTCTATGTTATTACTGAACTCTTCAGTAACATGGTTTGACTCAGGTGTGCCCATTACAATACTTACACCTTCATCCAAATCTTACATACTATTATGCATTTGAAATATGTTACTTGATTTAGTTTTGTAAACACTTTGCTCATCTGGAATCATGTCTACAAAATTACTTCTTCTTGGTAAATTTTATCATCCAATAGATCTTCATCCTAGAATATTTAATTTTTTAAATATAATTAATAATCAACATATTATATCTTATTTATTATGTTATTATATACTATACATACATACATACATACATAATAGTTTAAGGCTAAAGCAGCAGTGATAGGAAATAAAATTATCATTTGTCAAATTGTTTAGAATATGTACCATAGAATTGTAATAAATTACAAAAAGACTTTTTAACGTATAGAGTGAAATAATAATTTATATTTAACATTAGTACTTATAAACTATTTAAATATTAAAGCATAAAAATAAAATAAAACAAAACAATGTTATAATAATATAAGGTACCTCTTATTCAAATATTAACCAACCTGAACTATAACATTATCAATGTCCTTTGGTAAAGGAGAGTATGATTCTTTTTCTATTTCATTGTTAATTTCAATGATATAATCTACCCCATTTAATTCAATGGTCTGTTCATTAGTTGCTAAACATTTGATACCATGTATCTATAATTAATAAACAAAAACACAGTTATAAATAAACAATACATTATAATACTAATAATGATAGAAATTGATCATCACTAAAACTTACATTCACATTGTGTTTTATACTACTACAAGCAGCTGATGTTTCTTCTATCCATTCCTTAAAAAATAATGAAACAATCAATTAAAATTATTTAATGATTAAATTCCTATTAAACTACCTATTCATATTAAAATAGTTAAATATTTTCAATTAAACAATATTTTTTGTCCAGTATGAAGTGAATTTTGAAGACAAATGGTATATACGTATTATTGAAAAATAGAACTGAGTATACAGTGATACTAACACTATTCTTTTTCTGTAAAAATCAAGGTTAAAAAATCAAAAATTTGAAACATAAACATACCTACATATTTTTATTCCATTTAACCAAAATCTATCATCTTACCTACTAATTAATACTGTTGATGGTAAAATAAACAAACATTAAATAATTAAATATTAAATTAGACTCAACGAGTTTATTAATTTACTATATATTATCTAAGTTTGGAATAAAAGATATTTTAACTAAAAACAACAGCATGAAAAATTTTATCTAATAATATTAAGAGTTAAGTTACTTAACATTAAACAATAGGTACCTATCTAACAAACTGTTGATAGAAATATAAAATTATTATTTATGCTAAATAGTATGTAACTGTTAGAATCTATACTAATTTATAATCTAATAATAACATCAATAATTTACTTACTGGTATATGGGATTTTGTATCCAGATTATGTTCCTTTTTCGATTTCATAAAATCATTCAGTAGGTTTCTGCAAACCAGTTTTTTCTTATTTTGATTAAGTTTTTTTTTGTGTGCAATGGCCATCTTTATTTTAAATTGATATATATAATTTACAAAATGTACATGGTATAATTGCTATAATCATTGTCACAATAAAGTGTATATTATTTAAAATAAATAATAATATAATGTATTAAGGTTCAAATCAGGTTTTACTGAAAGAAATACATAGGTAATACACTATTTTAAAAAGTCTACCTACTAAAACTTAGTTTACTAACTGGTCATCGCTATAATCTTGTTGGCTTTTGACAAACTGAGTAATAGGTAATACAAAAAAAATTAATTTAGTAAAACAATTTAATAATAACAATATTATCATATAAAATCAAAATAATAACCAAACAACAATAAACTCGGTAAAAAGGTATTACGGTGGGTAGGTACCTATATTATAAAATGTATAAAATAAATATTGACTTGCCCAATTTCTCACGAAAAATTATTTTAGATTTAGACTTGTCCGTTTACGCACATGGATATTACATAAAAACTATTCATAATATAATCATATGATGAGGAGTACAGTTCTACCATTAGACGCGGCTTAGAATTCCCTATAAAATCCATGTATAACCCAAAAAATGATAAAATCTGACTTGACCACCTTCTCACAAATAGACACATAATACTCTAAAATTTTGTAGTTATTCAAACCTGGGTGTATACGAGTTAAAAAATTGAAGTAATGTCAATTTTAATTTTTTAACTTCTTTTGGATTCCGAGCGGAGCGATGAATGTATTGATTTTACAATTTATTTTTTTATTTTTTTTGTTTCTGTCATCACGTTATTTTGGGAGAGTAAAAGTGCTTAGATTTTCTTCAACAAGCATCTTTTCTGGTAGAAATGTGAATAGTATCAGTACTTCGAGGGGTCAAAAGTAAAAAATTCTCAATAAATAGTTTTCTAAAGTGGCAGGAAAAACAAACAAAAAATTAAGGAAAAAAGCGAATTTTCACGGAAACCCGGTTTTCAACAAAATCGATTTTGGTTTTTGATGTAACTCTCTCAAAAAAAAAAAAAAATACTGTAGATATACATGACATTTTTACTGAATACTTTTATTGGCGTTTTCTATTAACCATAACATTTTGACAACAAATTTTTATAAGAGTTTCAATTTTGAATTTTGACAAAATAAGTAAAAGTCACAAAAATGTGCAAAATATTTTGAGTTAGAAATTCATAAAAATGTTTCATTTTATATCTAAGTTTTTAAAACTTAATACAAGATTCCTTATAACTTTGTCTACCTTTTTAAAAAAAAAAATTCTTCCGGAAAGTTGAATTAAATTTATATAAGCATTTGAAGTTGAAATTTTGACAACATTGGATATTCTCTCTATTTCTCATGTAGTGATTTTCACTTATTTTTTTTACAATAGAAAAACCAATAATTGCTGATATTTGAAATTCACAACATTTGTTTATATTTTCAATTCATATAGTTAATATAATTTTCAAATTATTTTGACTCGTTTTGAGCTGTTTACAAACAATTTGAATTTTGAATTTTTTTAGTTTATTTAGATTTTTTTTTTTCTATAATTGTTAATAAAAGTGTATTTGCTGGGTAAAAATGCTTGAAAATTCAATAAAATGCTCCTGATAGATATAGACAATGTTAGTTAAAAAATATTTAAAATACATGGGCACGATTTTTGTAATGACTAATGAGCATTTAAAGTTTAAATTTTAACATGATTCACATCATTTAAAATGTGCAAATAATTTTATAGTTGAAAATTTTTGAAATATTCAACTTTTGTAGGTCAGGGTTGAAAATTCAAAACAAAGTTCCAAGCAAGTAGGTTATTCTGTTATTAAAAAAGCAAAAAAATATTATTATCACAGAATTGTTATGTTCAAATGTGAACTAAATTAAAGATTCAATTGCCAAGATTAATAATTTATGTTATTTTGTTGTAAATTAAAAATATTATTCGTAGGTACTTGAAACTTTTTAAAGTATATTATTATATTTTATACCCACAATGACTTTTCAAATGTATTTTTTTTTTTAATGAATTTAATCTACTGCTTTCAGTACTAATACTTACTAGTAAAATAAATTACTTTAATCACAATAATATTATCGAATACACTAAATTATTAAGTAATATTATAGATTGACAGACCGTCTTCACTCAGAATCGTTTTTCTTATACAATGATTTTTGATCGTTGAATTCAAACTTAACACCATCCATTACAGTGACCAAATTGTAAACCAATGTACAGCAGAGCGACCTCCACGTACCAGCTTTTTTAAAATATAATTTTCAATATCTTTACATTTTTAACTTAATTGATTTTTATCGCTAAACATTTATTAAATAATGAGTTACTTTTAATCAAGTCCTAGTTGCGTAGTTTTTTTTATAATTTTAAACTTTTTATTATTTTAAAATGTGAAGAAATATGACATTCGTAAGGTATAAAACTTATACGTTCTTGAATAAAATAGTTAAAAAACAAATAAACACATAATAACTACGTATAGGTAAGATAAAAGCTAAGACTTAAAGAGATTATTTTAGATATATAATATCTGTAATTTCTAATAACAAATAGCTCATACGTATATTGTTGAACATTTTACTATATAGGCTGCGTTTTTTTCAGGGATAGTATTCGTCAGTGAAAATTTGCCAATTTTGAATACAATGTCATATTATGCAGTGTGAAATGTGTTGACGTGAGTGTGTTTCAAAGACTTAATTGTATA